ACTACTACTACTACTACTACTGTTAGACAACCACAGACCAGCAGGAACCAATGGGAAAAGATGGGACTTCGAGTTCAGCAGCAGCTACAACTTGCGCTTCTTTACGGAAGCTACTGAAGTCGCTGCTTCTTACCGAACCGGGATCCCAAAGTCTTTTGATGGTGGTTCCGTGCTATACGCATGACTCGGCCAATGAAGCGACTGAACCTCCGGCTCGCTGCCCGAAACCGAGGAGCCTTGCGCTGCTGGAGCTCGAGTCAGTACTGCTGGGCTAAACAGTCGGCATCTTGCAAGGCATGGTATGACGGGCTATGGCTTTTCTGCATCCCTGCAGCCTGCAGCCTTGAGGGTCGAAACCAAGGCCGCAATTTGCACAAGGTCGACCCATCTCCGAAGCTCTGCGCCTTCTCTGAGCACACGCCGGGCCGGAACGAAGAGGTCTTCGCTTGGAACCTCAGACTCAGAGTTGCTTTCAAAACACGCGCCGACTTGCTTTAGTTGGGTCCGTGTTCGAGTTCCTGGCTGTGGATGATCCCACAGCCTGCGCAGCACTACGGGCGAAGGCCAGAACGTCTGAAGTGGACCTGGGCAGCATGCGCCCTGCAAGGGAAAGAAAGCAGAGTACCACCCTGCACGGGGGCTCGAGTCTCGAGGTGCCGACTCTGCTCCACTGCGGGACTCCTGAGGGTCACTGACTGGAGGCCAGTGTTCCCAACTCCGCCCGGAAGATAAGCAAGTGGCCAGCAGCCGCGAATCAGAAGCCTGCCCAACGTGCTTTTGGGAGATGCAGTGGGATCCCAGCCTCCAAAACCGCCTCGGAGGCACGACTGTAGCCCGCTTCCGAGACGTCTTGCGCAACCTCTGCCAGTTCCAAGCACAACTCTACTCTCGAACATGCACGATCCGATGAATGTCGCTGAAGACGCCTTCTGTGCAAACTGCATAATGTCCGACCTGGGCACAGCAACATGTGCACATGTCTGGCAGACACGATCGCACACTTGATGTGACAGAAGCTCCGGGGCACGAAGCGACACGTCACGATCTCAAGACGAATGAGTCTTCAAGGTTGGCTCGCCATCTTCGACCGAAAGCTAAACTTCACAAAATCCTTACCCGAGGCGGGAACCCGCTTGCGACGCTCGATGCAGGATTTGCAGGCCTGGGACCAGTAGCGGCCGTTCCGAGTCCGAATAGTCATAGAAAAGGCAAGCTGCGTTTCTCGAAGCAGTTTGCGTCAATCATGTCAAGTAGATAATGCCTCCACGCTTCTTTATGTCTGGAGGCCAGGCGTCTTGGACTCAGGAAGCCCAGTGTGTCTCTGCGCGATTGCGAAGATGTCCGACCTTGGAACAAAGAAATTGCCCGATGAAGGCAGGCGCTCGTGCTTTGACCACGTCGTCTTGAATAACTACGGCGTTAAGATGAGATACAAGACCTAGGTAATATGGCGCAACATCAGTCAAGGTCAGTGCGAGAAGTCGCACCTGGTCTTAGACCTTGACCAACGCTGTCTAAGCCTTCGCAAGTTGCTGAGGGCTCAGCTCGCGCACGCTGCCAGCAGCCTTGCATGGAATTTCGCCCCTATCCCAAGCCAAATATGACAAATCTCATGTTTTGGGGCAGGTCCGAAGGAATTCGGCAGCTGAGCTCTACAAATGACGACTCAAGTTCGGTGCTGTGCAGTATTATGGCCGGGCGACTTCTGATGCTCCGTGGACACCACTCCGAGAAACGTCCCCGGCAACCTGACAGTGTTACATCCTGTTGCGGCACTCCCGATGCACCTTCACTACAGTCACTATCAAAACCTGGTCCAGCTCGGTGTTACCCCACAGGCAAACTCAGACGTTGCCGGTAAGCTAATCGCTGATAGATCTTCGCAGGGCAATAGGCAATAAGAGGCAAATACTGTGGCCTGCTGAGCGAAGGCATAGATGTCCGACTCTGCCTCGTCGGAACCCGGCTCAAGGCCGAGCTGCGAAACAAGGCCCTCAAGGCCCCTCTGCTTGGGCACTGGCGCCTGAGGCGACGCTGCTGGCCTCAGAGAAGCAGCTCCCAGGAATGGAGAAGCTTGGACAACTAGACAATCCCAGGAATCCCAGGTAGCAGGGCACAAACGGCCGCAACTTGAAAACATGTAAAGCGCTCAGTGGCCCACCACTCCAGACTTCGAGACATCCTGCCACAAGGTTCATCTGCCAGTCTCCGAACATCTCCGAACCAAAATGTGCGCGTCTGCGGCTTTAGAAAGCAGCTAACTCAACTTGGCGTGGAGGCTCAGCCCAGCAAGATGAATCGAAGCTGCGGATAGTGATGATCCCGCCTGTGCTGCCCGGCGAGCAAAGGCCAGGAAGTCGGACCTGCCAAGTCGGACTGGGAACAGCACGTACACAGTGTTAGGTCCCTACAGTCGCTGGACCTGAGAACATGCAACCCTGACGTCGCGAGTGGCCTCCCCCCCTCGCCCTGACAAGTGGTGCACCGCGAATTTGCCTTGATGTTGCTGCACTGGTCTCAGTCACCTGTAGGGTCGACACGGATGCGGCATGCAAAGTCCAGCAGGTGGTTGTTTATGGATTTGGTGCCAGCTCTGGAACAGGATCATCACGAGTGCCGACACTGCTCTCACCTCGCTGTGCATCCCACTAGCCACCTGTCAGCAGACGCGAAATTGGCAAGGAAGCGGCAGACGCGAACGAGCGTCCACCGAGTAACACGCCGACTGGCGGTCTAGGTACAGGCATGGGACAGAGGACTTCAGCGACCGATCATACAGATCTGGAGTTTTTTGCCTTTGAGAATGCCTGGCAGCCCTTGAAATGACGCCTGCCGGGCGAAAGCAAGAACGCTGGTTTCGCTGACCTGAGCACAGCGATGCAAGGATGGTCTGCACAGCAGATCACAATGGCCGCAAGTCTGAGATTTCCAACGACACCCGACTTGGAGACATCATCGGCAGCCTCGCGTGCCGAGTGAATGGTCACTGGCGTACGGGCGTTGAGACACACCTTTCGGGCAAAGGTGAGGATGTCAGAGTCGTTTGCGTTGACGCCAGACTGCGAGATCTCCCTTGCGGCCTGATACCCAGGCGAGCTCAGGTGTCTTGTATTTTGAGCAAGAGAGGCCGTGCAACCAGGCATGACCACGCCTTACGGGCGAAAGCCAGCACGTCAGACTCGCTTGCACCTGGAAACAGAAGCTCTTTAATTGCGCTCCTCCGTCCTCTGGTCAAAAAGCCGGTGCCTTGACTGATGCCGGACTGTGAGACTGCTCGGGCTGCCTGCGAGAGCAAGCTGATGGGGCCCCTGCTCCCCGTGCTCTGCATGTCTTTTCAGCCTTTCTCGCGAAGGCCATGATATCCGTGCCCTCCGTGATGCCGGTCCCTTGCCACAAGGGAGCGTGCTGCCAGAACAACAGATCGGGCGTTGGACAGGAAGAACTATTTTCAGAGTCTGGTGTGCGTATCGAAGGATGCCACAGAGTGGATTCATGTGGCGTTCTTCTGCAAGGCTCCCTTCTTCATGGGACCTGCAGATCTGATACCCAGTATGTGGAAGTTTGTCAGAGTTTCTTCCGAGGCCCGCAGACCTCGGACGCATCTGCCGACTGGGGCATCTCGGGAAGTATGCTCCATTTCAGTTCCTATGCTTCGCCTCGTGCACGAGTCACGAGTGCGAAGAAAAAGAACACTCCGAGCATCTTTCCAGAACGTAATAACGGCCTTCTGGGACCTGATGAGCCTCCTTGGAAGCTCGGGAGGATGGTTCGGGTTAGTGGAGGCGGGGCAGGAATCGGCAGGACCTTCGGAGATGCCATGAGACTTGAAATCATGAGGCCAAAAACTCGATGAGAACTGAGGCTGGCACCTATGCCACTCTCGGACGCTTGCTGGGCTACCTGAACGAAGGCTGTTGTTCCGAGGCCTGAGGCCTGAAGACTCCGTGGCCTTGCGTGCGAAGGCCAGCACGTCACCTTCCACGGCAGAGGTTCCGCCAGCCTTGGAAAAAGGGGCCCAGATGGGCCCAGTGCATGGGCATCGCGGCATCTTGATGGCACTGGGGCGCCCGGCGGAGGACAGGTCCCCGCGCTGCGCCACTCCCCGCGCGAATCGCAGCAGCGCAGAGCCACCAAGCGAGTTGCTGGGCGGGCGTGGGCAGATGCTTCGGGGCACGCTTCACACATGTGCTTACGAAAGGCTTGAGGACTCAGCTCCACTGGACCATTGCTGCACGCTATGCTCCCGGCTCACTGAACATGTCGTTGCTGAAGCCGTCGACTGCAAGAAAAGCAGGCCGCACAGTCTGAAATAGTCTTGCTGTACGAGTGCAATGCCCAAGATTGCCCAAGCAGGGTGGATGCTCAATCCTGTGTATCCAAAAAAAGACACCCTGCTCATAGTTAGACAAACGGCTACCTGCATCTCCACGATATGGTCCTCCAAAGCTTTCGGTGACGACACCGCTCTCGGATGGATGAGCGGCAACCCGCTTCGCGAACATCATGATGTCAGACCTGCAGCTGTGAGGCTCTTTCATTTGCATTTCAGCAGTACCAATAACAGCTACAGTAGCAGTAAGTAACAGAAAGAGCAACAATAACAGCAACAATAACAGTAACAGTAACAGCAACAGTAGCAGTAACTGGTCAGGCGCAGACTTCCTTTTGCAGGCTTTCCACACGATTCTCCTACTGATGTGTCGTCTTCATCTGTTGGCGGATGGTCATCGAATTGTTCTCGATTGTGTAATTTGTTTCTTCTCTGCTTTGGCTTTGCTGTACTCCTTGAGTTGTGCCAAAAAGGCACTTACTTGGCTCGTGTCTATGCTGCCACTTACAGCTGCCTGCATCGCGCTCGTGGCCAGATCATTTGCAGCCTGTGACTCCGTATGATTCGGGACGAACCCCATTCCCAAAGACAGAGACATGCCACTGCTCGTCTGGCAATTAGAGACTTCGAAGCAGGACTCGAAGCTCAGGGCAAAGCCAGCCGATTGCTCCGATGTGGACGACGACTACTTTCTGCAAACGGTTTATCCGCTGCCGGTTCAGGACGTGAGCTTTATGGGCAAACCAATGTCAATGAACAGTAACATCAAATATCACTGACTGTCTGAATATGCTATGTACGACACCCACTTTGGATTCACTGAGTCCACTGAGTGTTGTTCCACGAACCGAGTCTGAGGTCCAGGCACAGAAACGCCGTCGGATTGTCCCATCTGAGAAAAGCTGACCAACATCCATCAGAGCTGCAAAGGGGAAATGTCATGATATCTCGTTATTTTTCAAGCAAGTCCCTGCGGTACCCTCGTTGTATTCGTCCCACCTCGTCAGCAACTTGCCGCGCGTAGCCCAGGATCTCGTCTTTGGAGCCGAGGCCTGCAGGCAACCGTAGCACGGAAAGGCGAGCGTGCCAAGCAGTGCGAGAGGCATGCGCGTGTCTCTCTAGCTACGTATCACAGTTTCCATACAATGACTGGCCGGGCCTTGCTGGAAACAGACGGGACCGACCGCTTAGATGATTTGTGTGCACAAAAATTCCAAGAGCTTGTCTGCTCAACTATTGCTGAGCTGTGAGCACGTTGACCCACTAAATTTTTGGTTTGAAGAGAGGCACTCTCACGCACAGCACGCACACACACACACACACACGCGCGCATGCAAATGGAATGAACCTCAATATGACCGAAATCATGCCATGTGTTAATAAGCTAGTCTCATCTAGCTGTTCAACATCTTCATTTGACGATGAAATCAGCTTCACTCCGTGCAATGCAGGTACACCAGGCTGATCAGGCCCAGCTTCCCTTTCTGATGCATAGCTTCGTTGGTTACGGTAGCATCAGAAAAGAGCCGTGCCATTCCGATCCCCTGCTCTTTTTTCTTCTGAACATGCAATTTCCCTTGGTCTCTGGGTGGTACGCACACAGCTGCCCCTGTGAAGGGGTAACACATCATGCAGATCAAGGCAGGCGTGTTTTGATGGGATATATCAACGTTCGCAGCTGTGTGTCGCAGGCTTTCAGCTCGCAAAAACTTTTTGTGTGTCCTTGAAATCTTGGATGCAGAATCATCTCCGCCGAAATATTGCATGCAAACAGACTTGAAATCTTGCTCTTTTTGGGACTGCGGATAGGAGCATCGCGATGCAAGGCAAACTCTGCTGTTGACTGCAGCCAACTTGTTGCTTGCGCTTCCTGCAGTCTGAAAAGCAAGACGTCGCTCAGCTGGATGCAATACGGCACCCAAGAACTCACCGGACTCAACTTCTTCAAGCTCTACGACAAAAGCAAGCAGACCCACTTTCTGGAGCCATGGTTGATGTTCGATCTGCTCTGAATACACGACCAGACGGTTGTCGACGTAGCGGCAAACGAAAGACTGATCATAATGTTGACGAAGCGCATCTTGATTTGTTTCCCACCACTTCTGCGCGGTGACACGAACTCTCGTTTTGATCCCCTGAAGATTCGAACCTTCAACTCTCTCTGTCTCTCTCTCTCTCTCGAGGAAACACTGTGCGAACCACGTCGTCGCTGTCATGATGCAAGGTTTTAGTAACGCTTAATCATCCATCGAACAGCAGCTTCAATGCGATCGGCTGGCATGGAAGTAAAGAAACCAACGAGATCCTGATTGGACTGCAACAGATGATGTTCAGAGTGAGTATGGCGAAAGAATCTTTGTAAGACGAGTGAACATTTCAGGCGTGGTCTCATTTCCGAAACAGTTTGGAAAACCGTCTTTCATCATGGCCATCAGCACAAACACAGTACAGCGAAACAGTTTGGGGAAAGGAAAATATCTGTAATTGATGATGGGTCGGGCGCCAAGTTTGATCAATATATACATACACACACACAGAGAGAGACACAGACACACACACACACACGCACGCACAAGCACACCCGCACACGCACACCCGCACACGAACTCGCACTCGCACACCCGCACACCCGCACACGCACACACGCACACACTCACACACGCACACACGCACACACGCACGCACACACACACCCACACACACACACACACATACACGCGCGCGCACACATGCACACACGCGCACACACGCACACGGCGTGTTTGCTGAATCACTGTTCAGGAATCTAAGCTGGTGTAATTTGTTTATTCCCCAAAGAGCGTGGTACACACATGTATACATTTTGGACTTCTTACTTTCCGTGTGAAGTTGGTTTGACTGCTGGGCGGGGGAGGCGAGCGCCGAACTTTCCACCTCCCACTGTGGCACGGTTCGTACTGGTTCTCATGTCCTTGCACCATCCTAGTGCGACCGTGTCCTCCGGAAAGTGCGATTCACTGTAAATTCCAATACATTCGTCTGATTCTAACCTCGAAATGGTGCGAAGCATTTTGCCCGTGTCTCTGAGTCCCGCGAGTACATGGAAGAAACGATTTGGCCGGTGCCTTGAAAATGCTCGCTGTGGTGCCCCGAAACTCTCGATGCCCACCAGGCAGAGAAGCATTGAGCTAAGTCGTCTCTACTATGCTGAAATCCGCCACTACACGAGGGAACGATTTTGCCGCAACACCCGTATAAGCGGGGAAGGATGCCTGTGGGGCTCTATCACTGTTTGGGGATCTGCGGTGGCCTAGCTTATATACACATGCAGAAGTCACCTATTTCCTTGGCTATTCAGCTATTCGTTAGCCGTTAGATTTCGGTATACACAAGCAACCACAGCTGACGTATGTCATTTTGGAATGACCCGTTGCAAAAGCACGGCCACTTAGGACGATCATTGTCTAAAACCTAGAAACTGCACTTGTCTTTGAAGGGCGCACAGACCACCGGCCAGGCCAGCGATTGTTTGCTGTGTGCCCTTGTAAGTCCTAGAATGTTCTCCTTCGCTCAACTAGGTGATGGTCTGCTCTCTCCATACTTCCGAACAAACGCGAAAGGAACCGCATGGGTCTGAGATCTCTTCGTTCATGATATGTTGGAACCAAGCAGTGCCTCGCCGGTGCATCGCCCGCTCCTTGACAGCAACGTTGCTTGCTGGTTAACATGCAACGGGAAATCTTTTTAGTCACATTTTAGTCAACAAAAGCGCCTCGCGGCCCAGCCGATCACCACGATGTGATTGGAGCTCCATCTGCAGGGTAATCTCGCTTTAGACAGGATGTACAGACTTAGACAGCTCCTATCCGAATGATGTACGAGTCAGGACAAAAGAATCTGAAGCCTGCGGTCTACCAGCGGCCCCATTCCCAAACAGCTGATGCCTTAGGCGTGTCCGCTGCATCGGTCTGGACAGCAAAAAGAGCAGAAGTCAGTCGCCATCGAAGTGGAATGTGCACTTGCACTCTCAGCATGTATCAGAATACAAGGCGAGCAGAGTGTTTCTTGCCACTTGCCTCGGAATCATGTCCATCCTGACCACCGTGAGTCACAAGCACGTGTGCATTCCGGTACTGCCCTACGTTGACTCCACTGGTCTAGCAGCTGAGGGCGAATGTCAGGAAATCGGAGGTGAATCCAACTTCCGCTATTACTAGGACGAGCTGGCACAGAGAATCCTGGCTCGACTGTGACAGTAGAAACGGTCACGGTGGCCTTGGGCTTGTGCACATGCTCGGAGCGCCTGCAAACAAGAAACCCTCGCGGAATCCAATCGCCTCGTAGTCTCTCTCAAAGTACCAGCAGGTGCTGTGCAGCAACAACAATGTCAGCTTTCTGTTCAGGTGTATAATGGCCACCAAATTATGCTAAGGCACCAGTCAGGCGGTTCAGAAATGAAGGCTCTCGATTCCGGGTGTCCTTATCATAATTTATAAGGACCTTCCTCGTTTTCTGAAGGAACTCCCACTACGCGCGCAAACATTGTGCCCACGGGCGGTTCCTGCCTCGAGGGTCGTGATGTACCTGGAGCTGGCTGACGGCTTTGTTGATCTTTAAGCAGAAGGTGAATGAGGGCTTCTGAAATGAGGGATCATTTACGGTGGGGCATCATTGGGGTCCCTGTGCCACCGTTTTCGGGCCACAGATCGAGATCATGCAAAATTCGCTGGCCTTCCTGCCGCGGCTCCGGCTCCTGATGAGTTCAGGTGCCAGCATTTTCATGGTGAAACGAAAGCAGCGGGGCCGTGGCCTCCTCATCCTCCGAGTCAGAATCCTCTGAGAGCGAATCCAAGTCCTCCATCTAAACGAAGGGTTCAGAGATGTTCCCACACTGAAGAGACAGGAACCCGATACTGAACTTTATGTGGTCGAGGTGCAAGCTGAACAGAAGGATGATGCAATGTCTAGATCCCACCTTGACTGACACCCCTGCGCACCTCTGAATCACTCAGCTCATCTGCATCTGGCACAACTTGAGCTTTGCAAACTTTGGAAGAGAGACTGACGAATATCTTCATGAATTGCAAGGCCTGCTCGGACAATTCCACTGCATCCCTTGTCATCTGCGACTTGCATGTCGAGTCTCGAAGCAGCGTGTGAACAACAAGGAAGCACCTCCAAAAAATAAACCCGTCTTCTGTAGCCCGAGAAAGCCATAGCACCTCCACTTCTGTGAGGGGGAGGTGGCTTAGAAGCAGCATCTTGGAAGATGCTTTCCTTGCAGCGGCACAAACACTCTGGCGTACTCTGGCCTTCACTTTCGATTTCGAGCCTGACGCCGGCCCATGGACTGCATCCATGCCAGAAACAGCTGCTGCTGCGAGCTGCCAGCTCCCTGTCCCAGGTCCCGTCTCTGCAAAGCTCTGTGCTCCTGCAAGCTCGCTATGCTCGCTTCTCAGCGCCTGCAGATCCGCAGCTGCACTGGGCCGCTTCCTGACACTCAACTGACTCGGCTGTAGCAGTTGAGCGTTAGAGATTCAGGGCAACGGACTGATACGAAAGACCGGCAGCCGAGCAGCTGGAATTTCAGCCAGCGCGAAGCACCTCCGTACGTAGTCAGACGTCGAACGCCTGGCAGGATTTTCTTCAGCACCCCATCGGTCTCATGCTTCACTTGATAAAAGCTGAGCACACAAACATACACAAACCAAATCAAGCGCACATCCCATGGCTGGCGATGCACGTTGTAGATGAAGACAATATGTCCCTCTCACTCACTCTCTCTCTCTCTCTCTACCTCTCTCTCTACCAGGCCAGACACCCCTACCCTCGCACGCGAACACAGGGTTTTGCAACTCCCTGGTGGGGGATTGCCCCCCACCCCCCCCCCCCGGCGCGACTATACATGGCCCGGCCACTGACAGAATCAGCACTGCACTGAAAAAAAGTAAAACATGATCTGAGGCACCGACAAACGCACTCATCTGTCTGTGTGTAATGGCTGGGTAGTATGCTCGCAGGCTTCCGCCCAGCTGAAAGAACATGATGCGAGGAGTATAAGACCTGCAAGTATTATTTGTCCCTTCTTCTTCTTCTTCTCCCTTCTTCCTTCGGGCTTAAGGGGCGTCTCAAGCCCCCCGGCCCGTAAGGGCCCCCCAGTTTTGCGGGGTTTTCGGGGAAGGCAACTGTCGGCAAGGGTTCGTCCCCACGCAAATAGTCCCTCTTCTTCCACACAGCCAAGAGAACGGAGTTCCCCCCGTTCCCCGCGCGCGCACGCGCCCTGGATGTCCGGGTCTCAAAGGTCGGTAACACGATGGTCCCGCTCTCTCACTCTCTCTCCTCCCAGGCTAAGGTGCAAGGGCGGACACCCCCACTCCCGCGCGAGCACGCGCACCTGCGGGTCTTGCCTGCTATCAATAGGTGGAGACTTTCTTCATGCTGAAATCAATTCGAACGCTGCACCCGAGATCTTTTTCCCTTTGCCACAGCAGCAAGCACAGCCAGCGCATGCGGCCGCTTTTGTCCACTGTGGCATGCGGCCAACTGCAAAGCCGTTTATGCGGACAGTGAGATGGAGGGAAGGAACTGCGCCAAGTGGGAAGCTCCACCTTGACATTTCACTGGAGTCCGAGCCGGCGAACCGCATAAGCACCCCATGCGCATGGAGTCTTAGCCGCCAACCGCGGGCAGGAGGAATGGCCATCAATTGCAGCGCACTGCTCTGTTGCTTCTGAGCCTTCGCGATCATCGGTTTCAATTGTTTTCAGGCATCGCACATGCAGCATGTGTGCCATGCCTGAAAGGCAGCAAATGTTGCGTGCGCTTGACTTCTCCTCCCGTCCTGCTTTGCACTGGCGCCTTCGGCAGCCGCAGCAGATCCTGCACTCACGGTCATTGCTCAGTCGGACACAACCCACTTTTGGACAGAAAGTGGCGACAGGTCCACACATGTGACATGTGCATGAATCCCAGTCCAGTGTCCGGTGGCTTGACCTGGGAAGCTCACACTGACTGCAGATTGAACTGGAGGCAAGGAATGGGACGCAGCGGGTGGATGAGACGGCACTGGGCCTGATGAATGGTTGGCCCAAAGACATGCCCCCTCATCTGCCTTCATGGCATTCAGCTTGCCATGGACCTTGTGCAGCAGCTGCCTCACGGGATATATCAAGATGCGCCAAAGGCCGCATTGGCTGTATCAGCGTATGCTTGCTGCACTCGTGCTCTAATTGCGTTCGACTGCGTCCTCTATACGATGCACGAAGCTCGTGGGCCTGGATTCGCTGATGAGGTCGTTGATTTTTCGCATCGTCAGGCCACCAGCTGAGCAGAGAAGGCACATGCTGCATGTGTGGACATGCTGGGGGGGCTGCGACAAGACCTACATGCCTTTGCGAAAAGCTCAGCTCTGAGATCAGCACAACTTCACGGCCCGAAGCAAAAGCAAGCCGCGCTCCCGAGCACCCGGCTGAAGGTGGGAACTATCCTCTTTTGAGCATACATTTGCACCGCATCGGCGGTATCCTGCGGCACCCTGCAAAGGCCAGAAACTCTATATTTATGGATGTGAGAGATTGCTATGGAGCACATGAGAGGCGCCTGGTGTTGTCTGGATCTTTGTCCAGCATCTTATCCGTCTCATCTTCCGCCTTGTCCCTTGGCCCGGCACACTCGCAAATCTTGTCACATCTCCCCTCCCTCCAAAGCCTCGGGAAAACTCCCTTTTTATGGGGCACTCCCAACCCAGTCAGGCCCTCCCCGCCGCCCCGAACCCTGTGCATCGGAACTTTGGATAATTTTAGGAAACCCTCCAAATAGGCAACTTTTGTGTATGCGCATCTTTGAAATAACATCTCTGCAAGCCATGTGGCAAGTCTTTCTTCACGGCTTCTTGCACCTCAGTAACAATCGCAGGCATGGCATGTTGCAAGTCTCCACTGCATCGCGTGGTTCTTGACCTGAAGACGCTTCCAAATCTTGCCCGACGACATGCAGAAGGCACTTGCCCAAGTCCAGCTGGGGCCAGAGCAGCATCCGTTGCCTGCAAAGGGGGCTAACTGCAAAATGCCTATCAGCAGCCTGTGCGCAGGCCTCATCTTCAGCCTTCTCGACTGTCTTTCCTGCCTCTTGGGAGTCGCTGTCCTCCTGAACGTCGTACTGAAGAGTCCCCAACAGAATACCGGGTAGACCGCACAATCAATAAAAATCGGCACGAGCCCTCTTGGCCCATGGCAAATGCCGACAGCTCGGGCAGGGTCCCTCCTTAATTCGGCGGCTTGCTGTGGATAAGGCCACAGGACTGCGAAGTTCAGGTCACGACCCAACTTATAACAATCAATTCTGATGCAGATGGCAAGGAAAGAAAGACCAGAATGTTCGATTCGGCAGTGTTCTCCTCACCACCCCCACTGCCGTGCCGCAGCCGCAGCCCCTCGCTTGTGAACTCGATACGGCCAACACCCGAAAGCCTTGACACATGCAACCTCTCTTGCACCGTACAGTGCCGTAACGGTTGAAGCACTCAAGTACTCTGTGCCGCTTGGCCGCGTCTCCGTGGTTCGAGCTCAAGGCCGAGGCCTGGGAGGTGCTTTGCAGATTCGGACGCCAGTGGAAACACAACATGTAACATGACAGATAGCGAGAGAGAGAGCTGCTCATTCTCACTGAACCCCGGAAGCTTCAGCCCAGATCCGAAACCCCAAAGCCTATTCAAGCAGCAAGTCGTAAACCTGATGCTTCCTGGCCTTGCAGATTCGACGAAGCGCCGGGCATCCGCATCGGCTGCATCGGCGCCCCCAGCGCCGGCAAGGGCTCCATGGACCCAGCCAGGCCTGCAAATACAGCCGTTTACGTCTGCATCTAACGGAATCTCGCGGCTTATCTACACGTCGAACCCTGTGGACTTATCTACCGGTACGTACGTATAGCTACAATGCATGCATGTAAATGCTTGTGCTTGAACATACAACTGCAAACAGGGGGCATGCAAAACGCATAATTGAACATCAACATCTTACATGCGGACGTGAGTACATATCTCCATCCGTACGCCTGCCCAGGCAAGATGGCTTGCATCTAGCCAACTAGTTCGCGACCACTTCGGGCTTATTCACCAGTCCACTGTCCGATGCATCGAACGTCGCACTACATGCCTGGCTAAGCGATGCGAACGAAAAGTTCAGGTTCAGTCCGAACAGCGCGGCTCAACGAAAAAGGCCCAAAGACTATGCAACAAACTTTCTGGAGACGCTGCACTTCATTGAACCACACTGGTTTGGGTGCGAGTGAAAGCGGCTTCTCTTTGCAGTCACATCCCGTCCACTGATTTTCACCCTGAATGGATCGGACACCGGCCGACCGCTGGCAAAAACCGGGCGATTCTTCGCACATGTTCACGCTTCGAGCATGGTTGGCCATCCATCACACTGGCCTGGAGTGCACAATTTCTACCATCTGACGAGAGCTGAAACGTCCCGCTGCAGTCGAATTGGCGTCGCCGACTTTGCCGAATCTGCCACTAAAGTTCGTTCGAAAGCCCGTTCCACCCAGATACCGCATCTTTGCCAGGAAGGCGAGTCCGGGCAGCGCATTCCACATCACGCCCCGCCACGACGCTGTTCCAGGCTCATGCTCGGCTCGCCGAATGGCACAGGTTCCGCGCTCTGCTCAACATCTGATGGCAGAGGCCCGTTTGCTACCGCTATGCTTCCAACTTGCTTGGGGACATCGCATATGCAGGCTCCAAAGAATCGTGGGCTCCCATAACTTTAGTCTGGAGCACCTTCTGAAAAAGATCCGAAAATCATGTCTAGAAGCACATGCTCGAGACCGGTGGCTTCCCAGTCTTGTGCCTTCTGGTAAAACATAACACAGGGTGCACTTGCCAAACGTCCAATGCATGTCTCTGTACAATGTCTATTCAACCCCTTGCTCACCATGAACTTGTTCCGTCTCACTTGCTCAATTTGTCGGATGTTGTATCGGCGAAACTCATTCAAAAGATGCTAGTTCACCTTTGCATAGCTAGATCGAAATACATCAGTGGCATTGCTGCAAACAGCAAATCAAAACCAGCCATTCTCCTTGTAGACGCTGGATTTCACAAGCGTCACGTCGAGACTAAGTGGTATCACAACAGATCCAAACTCCACAGTACTGGGTCCTGGGTCGCGCAGAAACTAAAGAGCGCATGAGAAACGATACGATACAGGTTTTGAAAACAAGCCCAAACCCGCGGCACATGGCGTTGGGACGAGACCCCCCGCCGACAGGGACGACTTAAACCTACTGCTAGTAAGCACGATAACCAGGATACAGGATTAAACACGACTGCAGCGTTGCATGTCTACGTCTGTGTAACTAGAGGCTTCCATCTTGCAGAGTGCCTGGAAAGCCAGGAGGGCCGAAGGCTGGGTTGAAGCCTCCGCAAACGGCTTCAAACTTGTTAGGGAATCCTGCTGTCGTCGAAAGGCACCTCCAAAGGAAGGCGACTGAAACCTCGGGCAGATTCACTGTTTTAGGCAACATCTCGGGATTGGGAGGTGAAGCGCCTCTCGTAACTCTGATACTGCCTAGACTCTTGGCACGGCTCTGGGCTTCGGACGAGGTTGTTGCACTGAAACCGGGCATGGCTGGCCCAAGACAAGCACCGGCAAAGCCCCTTGTCGATCATGTGATACGCATCTTTCGAGACGACGACAGTTTTGACACAAGTACTGGGTGGAGAGCTGTCAACATCTGCAAGCAAGCAAACAGCGTCGCGGAAGGCTTGGAGAAGCTTGCTGTAACTGGAGTCATGGAGGTTAGACGTACAATGCTGACCTTGAGCGTCGGAAACGGCAAGACCCTGGAAGGCAACAGTAATCAAGCACAGCGAAAGGAGATGAGCAGAGTGACATCACGAAGGGAGACTCGTTGGGCATACCGCTTGGCGCCTGCCATGCGGACGATTTCTTGATACCATTGCCTCTCCACGGATGACACATACTGGCGCTTGAGGACCTTGGCGGCAAAGCTGTCCATACTTACGCAAACATCGAGCAGAACGATTCTCCCAGGCCCGTGAAACAATCAGAACGCTCCACTTTTCCGCCTATGTCGGCTGTCCTCTCCTCCCGTCACTGCTGCGGAGGTGGAGCATCTCCTAGGCACCATGTCGCATGAACCGTCTGCACTCAACCTCAAGGCAGCCAAGGGGCAAGTTTCAAATGCAAGGAGAAGGGCTCCACGCGCTCAGCCGGCGCCGGCGAGGCCTCCGGCAACGAACGGCGGCTGCCCTTGCCTTTCAGAGCCTTTCAGCCTTGCAAGCCCTGGGTGATGTTCGGCGACCGTTCACTCAACCTACACTTGCACTGCAACTTTTCCTCGGCAGCGTCCACCTGCTGCTGATCTGGATCTTGCCTGCGCTCGGTGCGGTGCCGAAGTCTCTGTTAGTTACCCAGCCCCTACCGCCACACCTCCTGCACATTGGCAACATGCATGTTGATATATGATTCGGCAGGCTACTGAACCTATCATCTAAATCAGTTTCCACTGGACATAATCTCAGCCGCAGGGGGTAAGATGCCATTGGCACCGTCATGCGCGGCCGCCTTGGAGCTCCGGAGGAATGGCATATGCGGCATATGTTTCAGCCGCCTCTACAGACTCTGACAGACTCTACGGTCTGTTGGAGCAGCCGGTTACTATGTGAAGACTGGGAAGACGATGACAACAAGGAGGGCAGATTCAAAAGCCATGTCTAGTATTAAATGACCCCTGCTTGATTCAGCCACGGGTTGTCAACGGTGCATGCTGCCCGTCCCTCGGCCAAGTCTCTCAAGGATCTCGGCCAAGGGCATTGACCACACCCCAACGACCTGTCAGATCCGAAAGGGACAGAAGAAGCAGTCCGACAAGTCCTATCGCAGACTTCCCAGACGATTGCCTTGCACAGTCGAGATTTCGGCATTCTTCATGGATCACCAAGCCATAACAACACCCCTGCTTCAGGCTCACCCCTGTCGACGTGAATTGGAATTTGGTGCTTCAGTGCCTCTAGGCCTGCAGTGGGTACTCCAGGCCCCACCAACCCTGATGCGAGCACAAAATGATGGACCTCCAGCTTGCAGCCCAAACACAGTCACCACGGGAGGGTTTTTGTAGGTATGCGTCCTCGTGTGCTGCGGGTGTGGGTGGAATTTGCTTGTTGGGTTGCCAAGCTTGGCGGCTGAGATGCTGCTGACAACAACTTCTCGGGCGTTTCGGAGCTTTGCCTTCGGCTCGCTGCGTTGGTCGACGTTGCAGACCTCGAGCTGCAACACTTGATCCTGTGGACCTGACGTCAAAGCATCGGAGATGCAGCGCCACCATTCCGCTCGCTCTCGCTCTCGCTCGCTCTCTCTCTCTCTCTCTCTCTCTCGCTTTCACTCCCCACAGAGGTCAAGCAGAAATCTAAACCCAATTCAGCCCCAACATTGAACAATCCCAAACCCTAAACCCATACACCCTAAAC